ATAAGAATTAATGTACCGTCCTACTTACCAATTTAACCAATTATAATATAAAATTGGTGCATTAGATAAAGCTATTAGAAATTTAAAAAAAAAATCATAAAAGAAAAACAAAAAATTGCATGTAATCAAGTTACTATTATTTTAACATGTTGGTTAATTGCTGCCTCATAATAATTATGTATAATTGAATTAAATTTGTAATGTTGTAAATGATAAGTTTATTATTGAATGACAATTGTACTCCTATAATCCTAGAAATTATTACCGTTGTGTCCCTAATCCATCCCTAAAAAATTGAAGTTTTGATTCTCAATGTAATACACACAAGTCTATTGACTTTAATTCTCTTCCCTCTTTTCATAACACATTATTAGCACAAAAGTTTAATTTTTCAAAGTCTAGTGAAGGGCTACAGTCAAATTGCAGATATAGACTTCACATATGTGTTCTCACTAATTGTAAAGTATAATTCAATTTGGACTTTACTTGTGATAGTGGTAAAGAATTATTTGGAGCTTGAGCAGGTGAATGTCAAGATAAGATTCTTACATGAAGAACTTGAAGAGAATATTTACATACAACGATCATAGGGTTTCATAATTTCTGAAAATGAAGACTATGAGTGCTTGTTGAAGAAGTCCTTGAATGGACTGAAGGAGTCACCAAGCAATGGTATAAAATGTTCAATTCATTCATGACTACTTATAATTTCATTAGAAATAATTATGATAGTTGTGTGTATTTCAAAAAGGAAAATTGTGGATTGATTACACATTTGTTATTATATGTTGATGATATACTCATTACAGTCAAGGATAAAGTAGATGTCAGAAATGTGAAATCTCAACTTAGTAAGAAGTTTGAAATGAAATATTTAAGTGAAGTGAAGAAAATTCTTGGTGTGAAAATTTTGAGGGATAGAAAGACTGACATATTGTATTTAAGTTAGAGTGTGTGCATTGAGAAGGTACTTCAAAGTTTCATATACTGGATGCTAAGACTATCAATACTCCCTTGCTGCCTATTTCAAATTATAATCTGGATTGTATCCTCAATCAGGTGAATACATTGATTTCATGTCTTAGGTTTCTTATTCCAGTGTAGTTGATTTGCTTTTATATACTATGGCTTGTACAAGACCAAATTTGACAGATGCAATAAGTACAGTTAATAGGTATATGACAAATCCTGACAAAGAACATTAGAATGTAATTTAATGGATATTTAGATACTTTAGGGGATATACTAATGCTTGCTTGCATTTGGGTAGAAATATAGATGAAGTCATTGGCTATGTGAATTCAAATTACATATGGGATTTTGATAAGAGAAGATCACTTTCATGCTATGTTTACCCTTGGAGCCTGTGTTATCAGTTGGAAAGCTCTTTGCAAAATATAGTAGCTTTGTCTGCGACAGAGGCTATAGTACATTGCCAATACAAAGGCATGTAAGGAGGCTATGTGATTGAGGGGATTGATTGTGAAATAGTGAAGACTTGCATATTTCTGCAGTATATTATGATAGTCAGAGTACTATTTTTCTGACTAAGGATTAGATGTTCCATAAGAGGACTAATTACATTGATGTGAGGCATTATTTTGTGCATGGTGTGATTGCTCATGGTGACATTGTAGTGAGCAAAGTCTGTTGATATGATAACAAAACCATTTCCCATTACAAAGTTTAAGCATTGCTTGAACTCAGTTGGTTTTGTCATTAATTTAGTCCATTGAGACTTGTTTGAAAGAGGAGGAGTGGTGTCTATTTTGAAGATGTGTTTTGAATTTCTTTGTATTGAAATCTGGTTTAAGGTGGATATTTGTTGTAGTTTAATCCAAATTCTAGTGGATATTGAAGTTTTAGTTGAAGTGGTCTTGAAGATGATCAAAATTATAGATTAGGAAAAAAAGTTATCACATTTTCACTAGCTGACCGCTCGAGTAACTCTTGCATATTTTCTCTAGAGACTTGTCGCTCGCCTAGCGCTCGAGCAGCAGAGCTATTGCCTACCTACCGCTATCCTTTAACTAGAGTGATAGGGTTATCCGACCCAGGCTGTTTTGCATTTTGACACGTTTTTTGGACTTCAATTCATCTATATTTTTATTTCTAAGGTTTATATATATAAGTCACTACTTGTTACACTTATCTACGCTATTAGATTAGAGCATTTGTTAGTGATTTGAATGAGTTAAAGCCTAATTTTGTGTTAATTACATTTGTTGCATCGTACTCAATACAAATTGGTGGATTTGGAATAAATGAACAAAAAATGTGGGAAAACGAAGGAATTTCAAACTTTGGGGGACCAAAGTGTAAAGATTCAATAGTTGATTCGGACTACAAAATGATGGTTGAAGATATATGACATCAAATAGAGTTGAAACATTGTCACAAATCTATTTCTAGCCAAAGAAGTTATGCTCCAGATTTTTTATCTCAATTTGAGACCTATTTTTTGGATAGCAAAAGTTCGAATTGGAAAATTTGTACTTTTGAAAGAATTGTAGCTCTTTGAGTTAACTTTTCAATGCATTTTATATCACTTCAATCAGATATCGAAAGAGAAAATTATGATCAAAATACCAAAAGCTGCTTAGGGACGATGAATGCAACATGGCGCAAGCGGGCCATCAATGGTGCATGCACAATACCCTTTTTTCTCCAACCCGAGAGCTACTTGTGTCAACAGCGCGCGCATGGTGGTTTTGCCTATGCGCGCGTGGGCCAAATTTTCTATGATGGGCCAATATTCTTATTCTGATGAAATTCTAAATGGAAACAATATCTTAACATTCTATATATACCTAAACATGTCCAAAACGTTGAAGAACCTCCTTTAGACCTAAAAATCCCTATATTCTATGTATTTTGGAGGTGAAGAATGATGCTAACATTAAGGTCGAGGCAGATTATACAATTTTATTATTCATCCATTTTCAAAATTCAAGCGAAAAAATTGGATTTCTCAACTTTCTTTGTCATTCCCAATATTTCTTTTATAATTTAATCATTAAAAGAAAAGGCAAGTTTTTCTATTGTATCGAATGAATAACGAACCTTATTGCACATTTATTTTGATTTAATACTATTAATTTAGTTATTTCTTGATTGATTTTACATATCCATTGCATTATTTATTTGACTGGTCACCAGTTGAATAATTAGTTACTTGTTATAGTGTTGAGAGACTCACAATAAATTTAGAACGCACCAAAATTAACATATGTAGATAGAATTATGAATAATTTTTATCGCATATGCAATCACATAGATAACTTATAAACTAATGCATTTTGGTCATATGAATTCGAATTATGAATATGATCGGATCGTGATTAAAATAGATTTAATTTCTCTTGAAAAAAAGAATTAAATACATTAGTGTTATCGAATGTCACGAAAGCATGAAATTGACTAAATTATGAATCAAGAATTAAAATAAATAGCAGTATGAGGATTCAAAATTCAATACAATCATTCACATATTTGACCAAATATTTTTTATTACTTCCTCAGTTTAGAATTGGATTAAATAACAACAAAATCACGTCTTTGTGTCATGAATATCGAATTTAATAATAACTAGTGAACTAGAATTGAACATTATTTTTCGTGGGACGATAACTTTCAACTCACTTTATTATTACTTTTCAACGATCCTCGTACGCTTACGGGTTTCACACGAACACTTGTATTGTTCCCATAATACCATACATCTTAAGAGTTTTAGATCTTAATTGAAAGTTTTGAAATCTTGTTGTAAACATAATTACTATAGATTATAGTAATTTTCTCTTCCTCTGCTGTGGTTTTTTCCCATCTTGAATTTCTACATAAATCTTGGTGTTCTTTTTAGCACATACTTGTTCATTTTATTATTGCTATTATCTTACGCTCAATACATAACAACACTAATAACACATTAAGAACATTCAATACTCATAAAATCTATTCCATAATCAAATTAAAATGATATAAAACTTGTGAGTAAAACACACATGTCAAAAAGCTTCAAATAAATATAGACCCTGTTTGAATCTCATTAATTTGGAGAAATATATTAGGAATATTGATTAATAGAGAATGTGTGGTCAAAAAAGAAGATTTTTTTTATTTGGATATAATATAATTTTAATGAATAATGTGTGGTTAAAAATGAATATTGTAAAAAATAATAGGAAAAAATATGAAGTAAAGAATGGCAAAGGCATCATGTCCTTTCCTTTTCTTAACTCCACGCCAAGTACCCAACAGACCACATTTTTCTTCTATTCTTTTCACCCATAGATCATTTAAATCCATTCTTGAAACATATTATTGTTATTATCTTACGTTCAATTCATAACAACACTAATAAACACATTAAGAACATTCAATACTCATAAAATCTAGTCCATAATCAAATTAAAATGGTATAAAACTTGTGAGTAAAACACATACGTCAAAAAGCTTCAAATAAATATATGCCATGTTTGGGTCCCATTAATTTGAAGAAATGTATTAGGAATAGTGATTGATGGAGAATGTGTGATCACAAAAAAAGGATTTTTTTTTATTTGCATATAATATTATTTTAATGAATAATGTGGTTAAAAATGAATATTGTAAAAAAAAAAATGTAAAATAAAGTAAAGGATGGCAAAGGCATCACGTCCTTTCCTTCAACTCCATGCCAAGTACCCCACAGACCATATTTTTCTTCTGTTCTTTTCACCTACAGATCATTTAAATCCATTCTTGAAACAGATTACTCATCTTATTCATTTTTTTTACTTGAGGTCTTGATTTTTTGTTCTATCATTAATTAATTTCGTGATTAACAAGATAATTCTCAATTTTTTTCTGCTTTCTGCCATCTTAAACAAGGTTCAGACACATTTTGTCAAAAATTACATAGCCGGTGAATCCTAAGATAGAATTCTGAGGGTGAAGTTGACAACTTTTAGATCTATTATGTGAGTAATCTTTTGCTATTGGCTCACATTCTAGCAGTTATGGCTCACTTGGTGTATTCTGATTCAATGGGTGGATCACAGCATGGTCAAGGTGTGGAATTTTTTCCATCCAAGACAGGGTCCCTAAAAGTGTTGTTGTTACATGGGAATTTGAATATTTTGGTGAAGGAAGCAAAGAATCTCCCAAACATGGATTTATTCCACAAAAGGCTAGGTGATATGTTTGGTAAACTTGGTACTAAAATGGAAGGGAAAATGTCTAGTAAGATAACAAGCGATCCTTATGTCACAATCGCGGTCTCCAAGGCGGTAATTGGTAGAACTTTTGTGATTAGTAACTCTGAGAACCCTCTTTGGTTGCAGCACTTTTATGTTCCAGTTGCACATTATGCTACAGAAGTTCAATTTGTGGTGAAAGATAGTGATGTTGTGGGCTCTCAGTCTATGGGGGCTGTTGGGATCCCAGTAGAACAGATATTTTCCGGGGAAAGAATTGAGGGTACTTATCCGATACTCAATGCGAATGGGAAACCGTGTAAGGTCGGGGCTGCCTTGAGTCTGTCAATTCAGTACATACCGATGGAGAAATTGTACCTTTATCATGGTGGGGTGGGATCAGATCTTTCGTATCAGGGAGTCCCGGGTACTTATTTTCCTCTAAGGCGAGGAGGGAATGTGAAGCTTTATCAAGATGCTCATGTACCCAATAGTTCATTACCGAATTTGTTGTTGTCTAATGGTAGGCCGTATCAGCATGGACAGTGTTGGCGGGATATCTATGACGCCATAAGTCAAGCTCGACGTTTGGTTTATATTACCGGGTGGTCTGTTTACCATCTAGTTCGACTTGTTAGGGACGATCCGAATACAACAAATAGCAGCTTAGGCAATCTACTAAAAGTCAAATCACAAGAAGGTGTGAGAGTGCTGCTCCTTGTATGGGATGATCCTACTTCTAGGAGCATTTTCGGGTACAAAACTGTAAGAATCAACTCTTTAGTGTTTTCATTTTTCAATTGCGGTAGAACCTGAATCAACAGTCTTTTTAAATGAACTTTTATCTATATTTCTGACAAGACATAATTGTCTTTGAGCTTATTGATCTCACCCAAGGTTTTGCATAGTTATGAAGAATAAGTTAGGATGCAGACTGATATGATTCTATAAAGAGTCATTAGATAATCAGTATTTCATTATCACCATGAATCTGTCACTT